TTCAAGTGGTGCTGGCTTCCCTGCTGGTTTTCTCGCCCCTGCGATGCCCCAACGCAGAGCTGGGCTGGCAACTGAGCCCCGCTTGGGAAAACCCAGGAGTTGTTCACCCGCTCAGCAGAATGGGGTTTTTGCATGGTTTCGCAGGGTGCTGAGCAGTGCCAAATGTGATCGGTTCACCGCAAGTGCCTGGGAAGGAATTCTAGGGCTCTGCTGACGGAGTATCCCAGCGACACTGCCCTCCGGAGAAAGGCTGTTTGTTTCGTTTAGTTTTGAAAATTAAAACTTCCCTCTATGGGACAGGCAGGGCAAGGTGCTGAATGCCTGACACTCCTTGTTTTCCTTTGCGATTCTTTTTTTTTATTATTTACGCTCAGAGTTGCAGTGCTGTGTTGTGAAAAAACAACATTCCCACTCCCCTTACTTCAGAGGGAAAACCCCAAATCCCAACACTTGGCCCATACGATCAGACCTGCCTTTGTAACTGTGAAGGAAGACGCAACAGAAAATGTCCGTGAAATATTCTGGGGACTTTGGCGCTCGCAGCGTTCAGGTACCACAGCGATGGACGGCTGTCCCAGAATAGAGCCTACCAGTGCAGGGCAAGCTTCCCTGCCCTTCCCACCGCCCGTGATCCCATCAGCACGGTCACACTGCTGCTGCCGGGACCTAAGCTCCAATGAAAGCTCCCATGAAGTAGAGCCCTCCCCATCCTCAGCTCCCATGAAGTAGAGCCCTCCTCATCCTCAGCACCCATGAAGTAGAGCCCTCCCCATCCTCAGCTCCCATGAAGTAGAGCCCTCCTCATCCTCAGCACCCATGAACATGAAGGAGAACCCTCCCCAGCTCCCATGAAGCAGAGCCCTCCTCATCCTCAGCACCCATGAAGTAGAGCCCTTCTCATCCTCAGCACCCATGAAGGAGAACCCTCCCCAGCTCCCATGAAGCAGAGCCCTCCTCATCCTCAGCACCCATGAAGTAGAGCCCTTCTCATCCTCAGCACCCATGAAGGAGAACCCTCCCCAGCTCCCATGAAGCAGAGCCCTCCTCATCCTCAGCACCCATGAAGTAGAGCCCTCCCCGTCCTCAGCGCTCTGGGCTGGAAAGGAGCTCTGTCAGGAACCAGGGTGATTCCTTCCGAATCTGCCAGCCCCGTCTACTTTGGGTTCAGCGTATGTGCTGGGCTTTGAGACAAACTCCATAAACTCTGTAAGGCTGAGGGGTTTCTAATCAAGAGCAAACACTGAAACTGTCCCCTTGCGCTCCTGTGCTGCCATAAATTGGGAAAAAAACCCTATAGGAGTCTGTGGAGCTACTGTGGGGTAAAAGAGCGGGGATCTGTTGGGGAATTTGGACCCTGGAGGGCTGACACCAGGTAGTTGCAATAGAGCAGCCAAACCCCAGAGCACCTCCGGTCCCCACTGACTCCCGGTTTCCCACGCTCATGGCTCTCCGTGGAGATAAGCCCGGTTTCTGCCGAACTAAATGCTGCAATCTGGTTGAAAGAGAGAGCAACTGCTGGGAAGTCCCAACAAAGCCGTCCCAGTGCTTCTGCAACGGCATCGGTACCTGCTGGTTAACGGTGTGCGTGCAAGGAGAAGCTGGGGACCTTGCCGGGAGTGGAAGGAAAGAGAGAGGGAAACCACAAAGATAGAAATAAAACCTCTTTGTGAATAGATATTGGTGCATGTGTACATATGCCTCTCCACTCCAGGGGCTTTGGAACAGTTGTCAGGACTGGATTGGGTCTTTGTATTTTGCAATGGAACATCTGGTCCCTCCGCTGATTTGGGGACACAGATGAGCCTAGCTGATCGTTTGGTTATGCAAAGACATGGAAAAAAGCAAAGAAACACCAACAAGTGCAGCACAAACCCCATTACAATTCTCCCAGGCTGTTTATCAGCCCTTTGCTGGGCTGGGATGATTAGAAAGCCCGTGACAAATTGCTTACTTAGCTTTCTGGCTTCCTTATTTCTGGGCAGAATTCACTATGCATCAGCCTAGATTTGTGTTTGCATGTGTGTTTTGGTTTTTTTTCTCCCTTGTGAAGAAAAAACTGCCCAGCTTTTTTGGAATAGAAGGAGGGCGGGAGAGAGATACGACCACAGACAAAATCCTGCAGTATATTCCGGGAAAGGCAAGTACAAACACATCCAGCCCCGCTCCCCACTGCTCCCAGAGATGATTCCCACGCACCCCAAGGACAGCGCTCTGCGTAAGAGGGGCGATGGGTCTGGATCTGGGGGGTAACGGCAGGTTTGTCTGAAGGAGATGGAGGTCATATCTGCAGCCCTGGAAGGGATGAGCCCTGTGCCCTTCACACCTGCTCCAGGGTCCCCATGCAGGTGTTGAGGGGACCTGCCGTCAGCCCAAAAATGTGATGGGGTGGGAGGGTCGTGCTGAGAGCAGAGCAGGCAGCATGGTGGGAATATCTCACACCCCCCTTTGCTCTTGGTTCTTTTGTTTCTGGGTAGCCTGTGAAAGAAGGGAAAATTAGAGCCAGCATTCAAAGGTAGGATGATTCATTCCCACGCTGGAATGAGACGGAGCAGGCAGCGTATTAGCAATAAGCCCGGGGAAGGTAATCAGGAAGGGCAGGTCTGTCCCAGGCACGTACCAGCCTTGTGGCCATCTGGCCCATTTCGCAGCACTGCTCAGGGAAAGCAGAGGTGAAACGGTGAACCCCAGTATGTTTGCTCGGTCCCTTTGGGTGGGCCAGGGATGTTGACGGAGCTTTGGGACCTGATGGGCTGTAATGTGCATGCATCTCCCCTGCTGCCTGGCAAATAGGCTACGTGGATGTGGGGGAAGGGGAAACTGAGGCAGAGACTCACAGCGAGACAGAGGTAATTTCAGAGAAGGTCAGCAGCAGGACATCATCTCTTGGGTTTCAAGCTTCTGGCTAGGGGTATTGCAGTGGTGATGAGGTGCTTGTCAAGGGCTGGGTGTATTGCAGGACCCAATTCTGAGCAGCCCTGCTCGTGTGCTTTGGGTTGCTGCAGAGATTCAAACACCTGCTCCCCACAAGCAGGGACTCTGCCATCCCTTTCCATTCAGCTGCTCCCAGGCTGGCTCTTTCCAACCCAAAAGAGCTTTGGTTTTCCACATGTGAGCCTGAGGAGGGAGTGGGACTGGGATCCTACTCCTGGCTTGTGAGGTGGCCGTGGGTGAGTGCCATCCTCTCTCTTGGGAACGTGTCCTGAACCGTACAGCTGGGAAGGGCAGCAGAACTGGGACTGTTTCACAGTCCTGCCCGTTATTTGTGAATGGGGCTAATGGGCACGTGGTGCGGGCACGGGTCCCTGCGGGACTCGGCAGCCGGAGGGGTTGAGCAGCGCTTGACGGGACCGGGTCCCAGACGGATCCTGGGTGCTTCCCCCGGGGAAGCAGGGAAAGCTGTCATGTTAGCGGATCCTGGAAAATGAATCCTGCAAGCTGACAGAGCAAAGGTCACCGAGAGATCATTCATTTGGGAGCACGAGAGAGTGTGGGATCTCTTCAGGGGAGGAAGGAGGGTGGAGCAGTTGTTTAGATGTTACCCTTGCCTGGGGCAGATGGGATTCAAACTCCTTGCTTAGCCACAAGCTTCTTGTGTGGCCTGGAGAAAGCCTTGGCTTAGTCCCTTTCCCACTTCCATCTTTTCAGGAGAAACACCTCTGAGAGCGGGAGGTGACCAGCTGCTGGGGGACCAGGTTAGAGAGGAGCCATCAGCACGGGACTCTTCTGATGCAATCTCAGAGGAGATGGGGTCACCAAACCTCTGGCCATGGCAGGCAGTTTGGGACTGGGGCAAGTGACATCCCTGAAAAGCAGCCCATGGTTCCATCCCTCTGGACCCTGCCACAGGCAGGTGGCACACAACGCCAGCGGCTTTTGCTCCCACCAGCCTTCTTTCCCACACTTCCCAGTTAACGGCTTCTGCGAAGCCTAAGTAAAAATGAGAGGGAGGAGGATGTACCAGAAGAGCTGTGCTTCTCATTCGCTTCTTTTATCATTAAACAGCAGCTTTCGGAGCCCCAGGGCACCCGCCTTGCAAGGCTGAGCTCTTCCTGCTGCCAGGGTTAGTGATTCAGCTGGGAGTCACTGGGGTCTGCAGGGGCTGAGCCAGGTTAATTATTAACTTGCTCTACCTGTAGGATGAGGCATCTGAGAGCGAGGGAGAGTGCGAGAGAACATGTCAGGGCACTTGCACTGCCAGAGACCCGCTGCTTCACCAAACCCTGAGAGAAACCAGATTTCCAATGATCTGCACTGCCTCAAAGCCGGTGGGATAGCTGAGCTAACGGGAACCCTGCTCGTCGGGATGGGGCTGGGGGAGGAGAGTGCTTGCTGCCACCAGTACAACCCGGCCAGGGGAATAAAGAGCTGGCTGGGGAGGATTTCGGAGGAATGATAAATGCTAGTTCTCTTTCGTTTTGGCTGCACACCGAGGCATCGTCACGGTTTCGGTGGGTGCGTGGGCCAGGGAGATAAGTGATGCTCATGGAGGAGGCTGTGGCAGCTCTGGTCCCCGGCCCTCACAGGACATCGTGGGGTTCCCAGTGCCGCTTTTTGGGGGATGGCCAGATGCAGGCCGTGCTGGTGGCTATAAAGCTGTCTCAGAGAGGGCAGGGAAGCACTTGTGGGTCTGAGCCCTGAGACATCTGAGATTCAG